GAACTAGAGAATCAATTTTAAAAATTCTTTCATCCACGCGAGCTACATTATAGGCGGGTGACAGACAGAGGCTGAATATTCTTATGCGCTAGTTTTGTCGATTGTTTTGCTACCGTCTCTGTCGCGTTTGACAGACTCTTACAAAATGGCGTAATATAACCATTCATATCATATCAAATCAAAATCGTTTATTCGGCTGTTACATAGCACCTGTGAAAGTCGGAAACTACGCCAACGGTTCGCAAAACTATGGCGGGAGATCTTGTACTGAGAAGAACCGTCAAGAAACTGAGCAAGGGCGGCATTCTTTCTCCTCGTTTTATTTTTTCACACAGATAAGTCTTATTGGAATGTGACATAATTAGACTACAAAGTCACTTTCCATTACAATATCAGAAATAACGAGACATATATTTTAGATTAGTGAATGATATGCCTGTTGCCGAGTCATACATACTCATTAACAAATAAATATATAATATTCATAATAAAAGAAAATGGACGAAATTATAATCCAGATCAGCATGAGGCATGAGCCAGCCATCGCTTCGCGCAACCATATTTTGGGGAACGTAACGACCCCGACGCACACGACACCACCGCAGACTCTAGGTATTTATGCAGTGAAATAAGGAAGCTAATTCTAATACACCTCACTGCAGGCTGCAGGACACGGCACTTAATACAAAGGTACAATGTTGATCACGTTAGGTTAAAATATCTAACACCATGCCTTTTTGTCATTTAGATTTTCTTTAATGGTATTGTTCCAATTACTCACTAGTTTAACACATTTGAGTGCGCCGGCTCCTATTGCATAATAGGCTTTTAATAAAGCTACCGATGTTATAATGATCTGATATAAAATAAGATTTTTGCGCAATCATCTGTCAAATATTGTAAAGCGTCTTGAAATGGTACCTACGCATTTTGTTCGGCTAATTACTCTTACTATTAATGCAACCAATAAAATAGCATTAAATATATATTAAGGAGAGTTGTATCTTTATGGCAATTGGAAATGACTATTGATTCTTAAACTACTTAATACATTTGAATTATTTATTCATATGGAAGAGATTCGAGTTCAGTTAAGTATTTGTTTTGACATTTAAATTTATTGGAATTCCAAAAGTTTCATTGCGCCCGTGTATGGTATTTTGTTTAATAAACGAACTAATAATTTTTATGTATTCCCACCAATTAATTAAGCCCGTATGTTGGAAAATTTTAGGTTTTGCTAGTATCCTCTGAGTCCACTTTTCGGGCTTTTACAATACATTTTGGAACGTGCTAAGTTCGACCTATGACTGGTAAATGTAAGTAGGATTGAGACTGAAATTATTTATCACTGAATTGTTAATTTATAATTATGATGATATACTTTTAATTGTCATTAAATAATGTGCCTACATAATTAAACAGAATTTAGCAATTTTAGGTGTACGTTTTGTAGTATTTTAGATTGGTCTAAAATAGGTCGGTCTTGCATATATTAATTAATTAAAATAAACTTTACAAACAATAATGAATGTGATGTTGCATGTTAAGATTTTTAGCCCATTTGAAAATATTTAGAGCCAGCAGTCAGCTTGGTCTGACGGGCTCTGAAATATTGATACCTAGAGTATTTATATGACTACGTAGGACTTACATTTTCGTCGATCGACGTTTAGAGGAAACTTGAAAAAACTTCTGACTGCAGACAAACGCCCACACAGTAAATATTATTCAACAGTCAATATCCTTGACTGTAGATTCTGTAATATACCGAATTATCTGTAATAATATCTAAACCAACGTAGGTAATAATATATTATATCAACTATAATTCATAACATAAGTTGAGCTCGTGTCGTGAATTATTTCTTACGCTTCAATTCCTAAGATAAAACTGTTGTGCTATTATTTTCGCATAATTACAACTGGATTCGCGGAAAAGTCCTTAAAGGGGTTAGAATATCAGTATGATATTCTGTTAAAAACACCGAACTAGACCTAAAACTCGCCGACGAGCGCAGTGCTGTCACTATAATAACACCTAAAAGATTTTATTTCATTGAAGATCTATGTCGTGAGAACTAGCTCGACGTCAAATTCGGAAAACTTAGCACTTTTCCATAATATTAATAACTTACTGTTCAAAATCAAGCGGTATTTATGGGAATGTATAGTATCTAAAACTAAAAGGAAGATTCATTAATACTTATGAATAATATATCGCGGTTCTTAAATTTTTATAAAATAAAACCATCATAACAAGAAATGGTTAAAAACGGACGTATCTGGACGCAGTTGAACACAGCCCAAGGTATAAAATTCTCATAGGAAAAAATTTGGAGCCCAATGAAGTATATAAAAGAAACTTATCTTGTTCAAGCCACCTCGTGTTCAGTTGGAGCTGAGATTAGCCAGATTGGCTTTTAAGTGTCTAATTTCGAAATTTACGGGATCTCGCGGGTCTGGGGTCTAGCTACAATTATTATTATGGATTTGTGAAGTAAATATAGAAACTGCATGAAAAATAACAGAAACTAACATATATTTTTTTTAGAATGAATTACAAACAGTCTTTACCAACAATATTATTTGCTGTACGAACCAGTAACCATTATAACAATTTGATAAAAAAATTATAGAAACTACATAATTGTGATCAAATTTAAACTAAAATTTCACTATAAACAATTTATTTTGAAAAAAATAAGCCCGAATAAGCAGCAATTATAAGACTGCATTTTAATGATATATTGGTACTACAATATCTAGTAATGATTCAGTCTAAACGTAAATCGGTGAATCGATACAAATTTGTAGTTTTTTGATAACTTTACATTTTAGTTCTATTTATGAAAAAAAAACAGTTATATTAAAATATTCTATTTCTAGTGTTTGTTCTCGTAATTCGGCTCTTTATTTTAGGGATAATTGATAACACATTGATAATAAATGAAGTGTGTCACTGTGTTAATAATCGAGAGTCGGGTTATTTTTTATTTTAAAAATTGTGTGAATTTCGATTAATGAATTGTAAACTCAAGAGGAGTGCAGTACAGCTGCAGTGGCAAGTACGTTCAGTATGCAATATAAAGATTAAACAGCGTTTTTAAGTCACATGATAGGATAGGTAGCCGCGCTTCAGAAGGCAAGTTAATATAATTATAAATAATAGAGACTAATCAAATCACATAGTAGAATTTCATTAGTTACGGAGATATTACACTTTATGTCGCCTTGCTCAATCTCGTAATCCCACAAAATTTCATTCTAAAATTGTATTCCCTAGAGTGCAACACTACTGCACCGCATTATACATTGTATCATAGCAAGCAGAATATAAGGTATATTAGTAATGTCAGTACGGAAAGCTAATAAAATAACATGAATAAAATAAAAAAAAAACAGTGTAAGCATCTTTGAAAAGTCAATCTTAAAAATCATGAGTTTAAAATGAACTAGATGGCTAAAGGTGGGCTCGAATTTGTGACATTTCGTCATATCAATAAAGCGCGTGACATTATCATTGTATGAGTGAAGCTTACAGAGAATTTGTTGGGTGTAAGACGGAAGTAAGGAAGGTAGCTTTTAGATTCTATGTTTTATACTATATTATTACGCCAAATATCACTAACATTAGACTAGTTTTTTTACTAAAATTAGAAAAATGTATTATATTTCTCTTTCATTGCCAGAATACGAACTTATAAAATAGCAAATTGAATCCTTAAAAACTACTGCATTTTGTATTTCTTGTTGAAATTTGATACATTGCATACCTATAATATTTTTCAATGACATAAGACAAGTATTGATGAAAAGCTAAGAATTCATTTCCAACTGCTTCATTGTCATTCTTATAGCGAAGTAACTCAATTTTTATTACGACTGGACTGGATAAGGTACCTAATTTTAGTGTTTTATTTACAGGATAGCAAATTACCAACAAACAGGTAATTACCTACATACTCCACTCCACTGAGATGATTGACAATGAGCCGTGTCTCACAATGCACATATCATTTAAATGTATTGTAAATATTTTTATGATTGTCAACTCGGCAAGCGTTAGTAATGAGATGCCACGAATGTAATGTAGTGCCCCCGTATAACAATGCAACCTGTTTTACCTAGGTACATAGGTATGAGATATTTTTAATATAAAAAGCTTTGCACTTGAACTTTACTATTATTTTCAAGATATTAAAACGAGAAGCGATCAAGCGTAACGGGTACTTATTACGAAGATGACAATACACAATACAAAATTCCAATTACAAACGTGAATAAAATAGAATTTTGTGACAATAGGTAGCGAGCGAGCGAGCGCACGCGCGGGGCACGCTGGCTGGCGGGCGCTGCGACGAGTTAAGAGTTCGGTTTCGTTGTGAGTTATTTATTGCATTTACCGTTCAGTTGTAGGTTCGCGAAATAAGTAAAATAAATACATCTTGTCACTCGCAAGCTCTACGAATAGCGGTAACTTAATTACGACTACCTGCACTAATAATGCGATATCGTAGGTACAACACGACCCCGAGATTTCACTTATAGAACGTTACATATATTTAATAGCAACCACATATTATTGATACTGAAAGGTGTTGATTATGAATCATTCAGGTGGGTAGCCCTGAACAATGAAAAGAGTGTAATGAATAAGTATTCTTATGATAATTGAACTCACTCGGGTGGCGATCGTTATCATTGTGAAATGTGTGACATGTAGATGTGTCTACATCCGAGATTCGACCTCATAATTTGACGTGTAGTTTAGCAAGTCTGATCGGTACCTGCGTCACGGTTACTTTCGCTACCTTTGGACGTGGTGTGCCGCGCTCGGGCCAGCTCTGGGCCTGTCCAGGGTAACTCACCGCTTCTAATGTCAAACCTGTTAACGGCAACCCGGCGAAGGTCAGTTTACCGAGTGGCAGCTACCAGGGCGGGAGGTGGTTGCCTGGCGACCGCGGAACAGCTGTTGGCCTTCCGACACCGCTACTTACTTCAATAGGATCCTCCAAAAACAACCGAAACTGCTGCCGTTTGGTACCTCGCCGGCGTACGATATAGTCATGACGAGTACGGCTGGACGCACTATAAAATTATTATTTATTTATACGCACACACGTTTTATCGCGTGAGTTTGAAACGAATCACACACGGAAAATTAAATACGTATTAGAAAGTGATAGAAGTTCGTTGTGTCCAGTTTGTGGGGAAGTCGTCGGGGACGTACACTCGTTTAGTCACATTCTGGTGATGTGTTACGCGCTGCCTTCCTCGAATGGGCACAAAGCATTTGTAATGGCGCGCGGCAGCACCACACGCGCGGCGCCGTCCTCAATGACTGACGGGCCGCGGCAGGCAACTGTCTGCCTCCACCCTCACTCACCGTCACCGCCTGCCTCCCTCCACCCTCCTCCCGCCGCGTGCGCAGGTTCTAGCGCAGCACAACCTGCCTGCCTGCCTGCACGTCTACCTGCGCCGTCGCTAGATGGCGTTAATCCCTGTTGCATGCAATATCAATTGTGTGTCAGTAGCGTCGATTAGAATGCAATCGAAATCACTTCGAAAAAGCAAAAGGTAATTATAAATTTTGTTGAAGCTCTAATTGTGAGCGTAGCTAGGTAGTTCAAAATGCTTTAAAAAATTACCGATCGATTTCTGCGACCTCTGATTAAATATATTTTTTAAATCTGTTACATTCAAGTGCGAATTCATGATAGAATGATCAAAACGCGTTGTGGCAATCACAGAAAGACCACATAGCGAAATTAGTGTCGTGGCAGACATGCTGTTCGATCTCGACGGTTTTGATGATAAAGAAAAGCCATGACGATCCCAACTTTGAAAGCAGTTTCGAAGTGAATTAAAGTACCTTTCTGTCGCCTATAAATTCTATTAAGAAGTTCATGAAACAGAAAGAAGTGAAACAAATGCGTTAGGGTGCTCCTAACGCATTTCTTCACAAAGAGACCTAAAATCCTGTTTCTGTATCTATATTATTAAAACTTATATATATATTCATACAAATAAACAATTTGATTGATTAATTAACAGAATGTTATTTTCTTCATAATTAAAAGAGATTGATTTTTTCATTTAAAAAGAACCTTACTACAACTTTTCTTTACAAACGTTTGGAAAAATGTGTCACGTTGTAAATCGTTTTATGTAACATGACGTAAAACCGAGGACTGCCTTTATAATAGGAGGTACCATATGGTGTGCTTCGGTACTTCCATATGGTAATAGCCAAGCCAAGATAGCAGTTGGGCATACGATCTAATTAATAATTTTGTACACCAGAAAATAATAATAATAATTGACACTTTATTGCACACAATTATTAATATTAAGATAACAATATCTCTGAAAGCGATCTCTTCCACTCAATCTTTGTTTCGTGTAACATATGGAGAGAAAGACCGGAGGTAGTGTGCTAATAGTAAAGATGTAAGCCAAATATAATATAATAAATAAATAAAGCACTATGGTACTGAGGGTAAAATACAAAAAACATGTGAAATACAAAATAAAGAATATATCATAAGTACATATCTAAAAGATGCTTATGTAACATAGAATTGAAAACGGCAACATATTTTGAATGTCGAATAGCAGACGGCAGCTTATTCCAGAGCCCAGCAGCTTTAATGGTAAAGGACTCATGGTAATATCCCGATCTAGTATGAGGTATCTCTAGCACATTATCCGTCCCAGACCGCAGCTCACGACTATGATTTGCGCCCAGAAATTGGAAATGTTCCTTAAGGTAACGACTACGAGGATCATAAAGGATTTTATACAGGAAAGTCAGAATATGCTCTTAACGACGCTGTCTTATGGGGAGCTACTTAAGCCTACGTCTAAATTCAGTAATGTGGTCTAATTTTCGCAAACTGTATATAAATCTAATACAAAGATTTTGTTGAGCATGTCCTCACTAAGATCAATAGAATCAAAGTAAAAATTGCGCCAACTCAATTTTAATTTTCAAAGGAAGCAGATGTTTTTCCATCTTCTAAGTGCCCCCGTGGCAGCAAACACCTTTCGGCTGACCTCAGCAATGTGCGGAGACCAGGAGAGGGCAGGATCAAAGAAAACGCCCAAATTTTTTACTACACTACTAGAGAATAGTGACTCCACTCAAGGTAAGAGGCGGAATGACCATATGATTGAGCTTTGCAAACTGCCTCGCGCCACCGATGATTTTTTAGGATTAACGGTAAGGCCGTAAGCTTTAACTCCATTTTAGGACAGTCACAAGATCAAGATTAGGCTTAGCGGTCTGCTCATTGATGTTGTCGACTCGGGCCTGAGAAAAAATTTGCACATCATCTGCATATAAATGATATTAACACGAGAGAAAGGGGGTGAGGTGGTTAATAAAAATAGAGAATAGGCCTCCACATCAAAAAAATGCGACATCGGACACACCGTTGTCTTCCAACCAGATAACTACGGCACCAACTTAATACTGTATCCGAAATATATATGTATCTCAGCATAGCCAAAAGTATATCACTATCTTACAGTATCGAATGCATTACTGAAGTCCAGGAGAACCAATATAGCCACTTGTTGCTTCGACATACTCTCCTGAATTTTGTCTGTAACATTAATCAATGCCGAAGCTGTGATATGCGCCGGGCGGAAATCGGATTGCAAAAGATTCGAAAGATTATGAGAATTAATAAAGGAGCTGATCTGATGGTGAACAAGCCGCTTGAGGACCTTCGAAAGAAAGGGAAGGATGCAAATTGGCCTAAAGTTTGATGGCAAAGAGGATTTGAGGTTATGAGTTTTAGGAATGGGAATGACTACTACTTTACGCCAGTAGTTAGGAAATGTTCCGGTATAGAGCGAAAAGTTATAATTGTGGCAGAGAATGGGAACAAGAACCTCAGAGCCAAGTGCAACCATTCTAGGACTGATGCCGTCAATGCTTTCGGAGTTAGATTTAATGGCTGAAATGTTGAAAGAGAATGCAGGTCTTGGAGGATCACAGGAGGAAGACAGGGATTGCAAAGTAAGCTGCTTTAAATTTGCAGGAAAAGGGGAAACAGTAGTGTAGTGGCGATTTAACAAATTAAGATCGAGGTCAAGGGGAAGAGTAGACCTAGTCTGCCAATACCTAGTGAATTAAGAAAGGACCAGACCTAAGCAGGATTACTGTTCGACACAGTTATGTTTATGGCGCCGCTGTGAATCTCTGCACAATCTGCAACAGCGATTCCGCAGAATATTATATAGTCGCTGATTTTCCTCTGTGGTATCATTCCTGTATTTCACCTTGGCAGCGTTACGATTCGTCATCACTACGTTGATTTCGTTAGTAAGTCAACGAGCTGGAAGATGTTTTAACTGAACCGGCCGAAGGGGAGCATAACGTAAATAAAACTCTGATCACTTTATATGTACGACGATATTTATTCTGAAGGTACATCAATTTCTTAGCCATGTTACCTACCCTCTCTCATACCAATACCATATCTTTATACAAAGAATACAATTCTAAAAATGTCGAATTATTTCTACAAAAAAAGAAAAAAAAACGATTTTATAATTTTAAATTAGCGACATTTATAAATTCTCTTGTACACGGATGAGGCTGGGGTGAACACTTTTTGGTCGAACGATGTAGTGTTGGCCAAAACGAGTACACTCGACCCAAATATCAACCTCGGTCTCTTAATTAAATAAAAAAAAACAAAATTAACCTACAGATTACATTATTTTTCGGTCGTGTGAACAATACTAGTTTTGGCCAACAGCTATCTTTGGTTCTTATTCAGGCTTCATCAGGAACAAATTAAACCGACGGCGTCTTGCTGCCCGCCCGACATGAATTCATATACAGACTTTGTGTCAACCATTACCCATCTCAACAAAAACACATGCTGTATTTCATCTCGTGTAGACTCAGGCATAAAACCAACTTCAAGAACAAACAAATTTATTAACCAGGTCAAATATGCATATATGTATAACACTAGCTAGATAAACATTTTTCAATATCCTTCAAAATAACATCGTATTTCTATTGTAGTATCTTGAAATAGGTCAGACAGTACCTATTTCACGAGTCTGCACTATGCTACTTCCTACTCATGCTGTATTAAAATATAGTTTGTACCCCATTTTAACATCTTAAGAGGTCACCGTGAACTATATTATCTAAAAATATGCATCGTTTATTTTTAATAAGACGAGAATTCAGTTATTACATTCGTTTGTTACATATTTTATATATGTATATTGAAAACTTAAAATAATAATTTCACATATATAATCTATTTAGACTATGTAAGAAATAAAGTCCCGAATTAGGTGACAAAAAAGTTCCCCTTTAAAATTAACATTATATGTACCATATTTGAATACCTTAGATCACGTCAGGTTTATAATTGTCAATTTATCACATTTATTTATTACAAAATGTATATACATTTTTCTATATGAATTTGTTTCTAAGGAGTGATTAAGCTAAATGAAAATATCTATAACAATTTTGTTTTACTATACCTTGATCTAAAGGTCCGTATGATAAATATGAACCTTAAGATACTAAAAAAGTAAATCTGCGATAAGTCACGAATAATACAAATAACAATAGAAGTACAAAAACAAATATACAGAGACAAATATAGGGCGAAATTACTTTACAAAATAAAAAAAATGTATCAAAATACATTGAAACAGGTAAGTATATATTTTTGTAATTTAAGATTCATTTCGTTTTTTAATTTGTTTAAAGATCAAAAGTGCTTGAATTCAAAACGAAATCAAATTTAAGTCAAGCAACGCATAAGTAGCATCGGCCAAATTAGTGTGCGCGGGAGAGAACCTAAAGCTGATTGAAGACTAGTAACCTACTAATACCTACCCCATTGCAACTTCAATTCGTCACCCACGTAAAGGTTTTAGGCTCAATCCACACTGCGAGTAAACGCAAATCCGCGCAGTTTCGGCGCGGTTTGTAACACATATCTTAACAGAGCTGGGCGATTCGGAGCAGGTTTCGCATTTTCAGCTATATCTAAACTGCGTACGCATGCGCACGACCAATAAATAGCAAACGATAATGGCCGTTCGCAAATACAGAAGGCTGTACAGAATACAATTGGCTGAAGATTTTCAAGCCTTTCAAAAATGAAACTTTTACGCATGTACATCGATACAACTTTTAAAACTCGGTGATACTGTATCTGTATTCATAATTCAAGAGCAACGAATACATTATAATTGCATGTAGTTATGTAAGCTGGAGCCCATAGTAAATTAATATGATAATATTATTTAAGCACCGATCGACCCCTTTGTATAGAAAAATATTTTTTAAGTATGAAATTGCATTAGTGTAGGGTAACTAAGCCGGTAGTTAGCCATAGGAATAACGTTCCACTTGAAATAAGTGTATTGATAATTAATTGTCTTGCTTTTGGTCAATACGAAATAATCGTTCATTGGCGATAATGAACGCATTAATTTGCTTGTATTAATTTGCCGTATTAAGTTTTTAAAATAGATATTAAAACTGTTAATTTTAGTACAACTGAATCAATCCTGTGGAATATTATCATTCAAATGTAAATGACTGAATATTAATTAAATGGCCGACTACTGCATCCTTTACCCTAATTATATAGTTTATTACAACATTCTTTTAGTCTATAATAGAATATTCTCAGTGTGCAAATTCACGATTACATAAGTATCGATTAAGGTCCTCTCAATCATAAGGAAGCTCTGGTGTCATGGATATATCTTCCAAAGAAATTTAGCGTAAAACGTGAGAGTTACATTAGTTTTATTTGTCAACAGATGGCACTAGTGTTTTAAGAATTTTACCCAGCCTCTGAATGTTCTTGCTAGTGAACAAACCTTCACCATGGGCAGAATCTGATCTATATTTATTACTTATTATTATATTATAAAACTGAAGAGTTTGTCTACATGAAAGCGCTAATCTCAGGAACTTGTGCTGAATGCTATATAATATCACGATATGACTAATTAGAGTGAAGCAGCTATGGGAAATGTTGCAAAAACGTAAAAACCACACGGCCGAATTCGCTGGCGGAAAGCAGTGACACATATAGATATTATTATAATTAAACTTTCTTTCATACTTAATCTAACGAATTGTTACAAGTATTCTGATGTATACTGAGTAATTTTAGGTGCGCCATTGAGTATAATTTTGTTGTTTGTATTTCAAACAAAGAGACTTTACCGTAAAAAAAAGCTAGAATCTATCTACCGACAGTTAAAACGAATGAAACCGTGACGTCATATCTTAGTTCTTTACTCATTAACAGGACATTAAAAATAATGTACATAACATAACATAACATTAGAGGTAAACACAAGTGTGCTCAAACCATACGGATATAATCGTGACTATTGATTTAAGAACTCACACCTATTTAATAGATATTGTAACATACCACCGAGCATTGTCTGTACAGCAACAGCGGCTTAGCTATGTAGTGCTAAAACATCATAAGAAGGTTCCACCAATATTAACAATTTATATAATATTTCATCGCGCCATCCACATGGCGAGCGATCGCCTTTAACTATAGACAATTCACTCACGAGCGACCATCTACAATAGGCTATTGTTGTTTTCGACCCTCAACCTCTACCTATTAATTTCATAATCATTATATGTTTCCTTTATAATTATTATTTTATCATATTATAATTATTAATCATTCTACTTATTTTATTTTAATAAACGTTTGCATAAATGTAACGGCACAACATTATCAAGAATGAGCAAACTGAAAAGCTAAACGTGTCAACCGACGCAGACAGTATAAAAAATATGTACCTCTGTGAGACACTAATCGAATCAACACATCGTATTAACCTAAACACTATCGCAGTATGTGTAATCTAGCGCTTATCCACACATTACCCAAAAAAATATGGACAGATCGATCACAGCGGACATACAATTTAAGTTGTTAACGATCACAAAATATATATATATGTATATAATGTATGTATGTATATATTAACCCAGAGTGTCGCGCGCCTAACGCGTATTGTTTATGATAATATATCTCATGAGCGATCGCCCGACGCCGGCGCACCCGGGCGCGGGTAGAACGAAACGATGGACGAGCGGACGCGGACCGTGGCGTAGACGCGGCGGTGGCGGCGGCGGGGGGCGCGGGGCGGCGGCGGCGGCGGCGGGGGGGCGGACGCGCGGGCGACGGCGCGGCAGCGCGGGGGGGCGCGGCACTAACTGAACAGCTGCTCGGTGGCGCGCTCCAGCTCCCAGTCGTAGGTGGAGAGGGCGACGCGGGCCTGGTGCTCCTCCACGCCCATGTCCAGCAGCCGCTGCACCTTCTGGTTGAAGTCGGCAATGACCGACGGCCCACCGGCGTACACGTTCGTCCAATGGCGGGCGGTCAAATTGAACAAGCACAGGTTGTCCCGGTACTGCTTGGCCACGACCGCGTCCTGCGGATCGTTGGGCTCGGCGGCGGACAGGAGCGCCTGTATCGACAGCAGCACAGTCCGCAGGGTCAGCGCGGCCGCCCACTGGTCCTTCAGGATGTCCAAGCATATAGCCCCCGTCACTGATGACACGTTCGGATGCCAGATCTTCGTCATGAACCGGATCTGCGCAAACGTTCAAATGCCTGTATGAAATATAATCAATCAAAACATAACGTAAATATAATAATCAAAATCTCAAATTTCTTTTATTATTTACTTAAACTTCCTATATCTCACCGGTGGATCCCTCGGTGGCTTGGGGTAGTGATAGTGTCATCAGAATAACTTTATACTTCATATTTTCCAATATTTGCTAATGGTTATCACCTTGACGAATGATTACGAAACTAAGTGACACTACCCTACCCAATATATATAACGTCGAAGAGCATAACCGTCGTAAACAACACCGTCACTCTGGCTGTTGTTATACATATTACTTATATGATTTACTTATTATAGCTTCGTAAGTTATTTTAATTAGTTATTTCAAGTAATTGGTGTTAACTACTACCTAAGTTAGTTTTAAAACTATTCAAAAGAGTGTTAGTGTTACGAGATGATATTATCTTATTATAATTACAAATCATTCAGTTTCATTACTTGGGATAATATAAAATAGATAACAACTAGTGAATTCACATTATAATTCTATTCAGATGTCACATGGTTATGAAATAGGTATTTGAGGAATTTTGTCAAGCCTCAAAACCCTTACCTTAGGAGGATTAAATGGATAAGTCTCCGGTACTTTGATCTCCAACAGGAAGGTGCCACCCTCGTAAGGTGTATCAGGTGGGCCGGCTATCGCTCCCTGCAACTCTGTCCAATTGTTGTCAACCAACTCCAGCTTGATGGCACCACCTGCCACCTGGAACAAGTCATATATAATATTTATAGCACCAATGTGTTTATTGCATGCCCTGATCACAAAGCCGTTGGAAACATCTATCTATAAAATATTGTCATGTGTTTACTTAATTAATCACTTGTATAATAAATAAATTTAATCTTAGATTTAAGCATTGTCTCCAGGCGCATATTAGACGCGTACTAGCACAAATGTTTTACTGTTAAAAAATCATAGCCCATGGCCTTCTCACTATGCCATGAATCAATGTACAAAATGATTGTTTCTATATTGTCTCGGATCTAGTTGCTGTACCATCGGTGTTTCAAATTTCATTAATACTTGTATTAATTAGCCTCTTAATGTGTGCTCTTTGAAATGTTAAGTACACTTTTAAAGATGTTATGTCATTCAAATATTTATTTAAATACAGTCAGATTGCACCAATGAGTTTTATACATAAAATAATGCATAACAATTAAAATATTAAGATTAAAATATACGTAACTTTAACATCTTGTGTTATATATTATGTATGTCAATGTGAATAATATTATTGGTAGACAAAACGGCTGACTTGTGCACCTACAAAATAGTAGATAACTTGTTATCAAATGTAGTTCATCAACTGTCTCACAAATTATGGTTAATATTACATACATTTAATTATCTACACTCATATTAGGAAGAAGTAAAGTAAATTACTGTATATCAATGGGGATGAAGACTTATATTTGTTTGTTTGTTCATCAGGTAGATTATTGAAGAATAATATATAATATTTTTATAGTATCTGATTGACTATCATCATCAGAATTAGAATTTCTTTTTATTTCATCAGAATAGAAACCACATTCATATTTATAATAATAAGTTTAATTTTTTTCCGTAGTTGTAATTTATCACAAGCTTTTCATTCATAAAAATTGTTACATTTATTCACTTCGCAAATTCATTCTGTATACAGCAAGCAAGATTGCCACATACATAAATGTTATTCTATTATAATTTATAAGGAACAATAGTCTTTTTGAATGCACTTTTATTTTTTTTTCTTATACTAAGACTAAGATGACGTTTTGCCGCAATCCGACCGGATGATAAGTAAGATGTGGCCTAAGATGGTATATGAAGCGCCTATTCACTCTAGACTCTGAAGAGCTCCATTGGGGAATACGGGATTTGGATCAGGCATTACACTCCATTCCTTGGCAGTTCGAAAGTACGGGTGCTTAGCCAACCTGCGTCTCGTATTCAGGTGATGGAACGAAGGTCATGGAATCAGATCATGGAGTTCCTTCGCATACTTACCAAAGTGCAACCTATAAAACACAACCTGACTAGCAATCCTGCGACGATGCTTGAGATTCATAAAACCGCATTCCAATACTAGTGGCGTTTCCAATTAGTTTTTTTAGCTCAGTTTACAATCGTATCCAAAGCAGCCAACTGATATTAAGCAGAGCCATCCCAAAGGTGGCGGCAGTACTCACGCAAGGATGGATCTGAACTTTGTACACCATGTATCCAGCGAGAAGCATCTTCTGGCCTTTTTGGAATAGATTCAATGTACGCCAAAGTTAACATTGGACAAGAAACTGAAGGTCCACAGCACGGATACATTCTGGAAATCCAATTCAAAAGGATAACAGAACAGCCAGAGCTTCAACCATGTTTCTCAATAAATAAATTATTATCGACAATGACGAAACCCAGATCGGTCACTGAGGTCATTACCCTCCAGGTATTATTTTGCCAGGTAAGTCCATACTTTCCATGACAGGTGATTGAGATTGGTCTATAGTTTGAACAGTCAACACGGGAACCCTATTGGAGAACAAGTTACACTCAAATAAGAGTCGATATAAATGCGTTAATATCAGACCCAATTCAGGTGCACAAGTATGCAGAACAATGGATGGGATACCATCAGGATCACAAAGTTCATTCGCATCTATGGATCTCAATACTTCTTACTAGCACTAATTCTCTAGAACAATTTTAGGTTGTGGTCTAGGTTGTATTTTGATAACTCTTCTTGCTTTGAATATAACAATTTTACAAAATTAATTTAAAATGAAAGTATACAGGAATATAATTATACAAAAACATTATTTTAATATTTTTAATTCGAATTAAGCATCAAAACAACCATCAATTGATGTCTCATGCAGCATTTTATTTCTTTGTAATATTAATATTGCAAATTAAATCAATTTAATTAAATTATTATAATTTAATTTCCTAATCCTTCAATAACCCTTTTATGGAAACATGATAGAATAGATATGGGATATTGACATCATGTCACAAGGAACTCAACAAAACAAAATATCATATATAATAAAATACTAATGGCACACCAATAACGTAATTAATTTTACATGTTATATTTTAAGAACAGTTTCTAAATTTTTATTGCGTCATGACAGTTTATTTAATTTGTGATTTGAGATGCAAATCAATATATAGATATATATAGATTCTACAATATTCATTTAGTCTATAACTAGTACTAGTAGCAGTCAGATATTCATTAAAATTGAGATTTAGATTGTGCTTACCCACTTATTTCAATGGTTAACCTGATACAGGGGTTGTTTTCATTCTGGGGGTAGATGATCCTAATTCCATTTTTTATGAAAATTCACAAATTGTCATAGTTAGACACATACATACCTGTTTGTACCAACTTTGTAAGATTTTAGATATGACCATTTACAAATTTCTATGAAATGTGACTATATTATTTATATATTGTTACAATTAAAATATAAAAATATGATTATTTTTTCACACAGAATAAAACCAAGGACTTTCACAATATAGCTCCATTTCAAAGTCAACTGGCTTTATATGCAAAATGTGTACAATCATTGGCTATGGATGATATTGGACTATCTTCATATTTACTTGTGAACTCTGATTATAGACTCATTCAGTTACATGAATGGTTCACATAGCATAGATGCTAAGGAATGTTTTTTCACAATATTTAGGGACTTACTAAAAATATTTGTGTCTCATGAATGCCTATTATTCTTTGAAGCAGAAACATGATCCATAATAGAATTACTACTTAACATAAAAAACTGCTGAAACATTCCAGACAATAAATCGCAGAGGCAAACATTTGTTAATATTTTTAAATAACATTTTAATTAAAGAGTGACGAGGGTAACTGCATAAAATAGCATTCGCTAAATTGCTATAGAAATTGATTCATAAAGTAAGAAAATTAAAATAAATGCACTTTAAAATTCGAATGTATTATCTTTGCTTATTATTGATGTTAATTTTTGGCAGTCACGAGTTAAAAATATAATGAGAATGTGGTAAACAAGTAACAATGACAATAGGTACGTAAAAACATGCTGAATCACCTACAATAAAATAAAGACACTTAAGAGCGCTGTACTGCACTCGAGATTTTGTGAGGTTAGAATAAATCACCAATAACAAAATTATTTCATTCGCACTTTGTACGGTATTAGATCAATGTTCGCAAGAAACCATGACATTCTATTAGAAGTGCAATCAAGTGTCTCCAATATTTTACATGTTAATCGTGATTAGGAAGTAATTTATATAATGCGGTGCTCACCTCTTCACTTTTCATGACCTCCTTGAACTCTCTTTTGATACGTTTAGCTGCTATATTAGCCATCACTGCAATTTTATTTACCAGCTATTATTAAAAATTGAAAGGGAATGAAAACGAGCAAGAACAAAACCACCACTGACCATTTACATTTAGTTCTCCGTTATGAGCACAGACCAAGAAGAAGATACTACGTATTATGAGTACTACTAATCTATGATTTAGATGAATACACAGACCAAGAAGGGGATACTACGTGTTACATCTGACCAGTGCTACCAGCCCCATAAGATATTTAGTAGTAGGTGATATTAATAGTATTTTTTGAAAATTAGTATACTTTGCAGGGGCGTAGTTACCGCCGTATCTGCCGCATTATATGCCGCCCCCGGGTGAGGGAGGCCCTCAACGTTAATAAAATAATAAAAACTTCTCAAATTTCTTTTTATTTCAGAAATGACAAAAGTAAAAAAGAACAAGTAAAGCATGCGTTTCAAAATTGGCAGCAAGTTTTCGCGGACTCCGGGACTTCTCCGTTTAAGTCATTTACTTCAACGGGGGAATCTCACAATCATCGATGTACATACGATTAAAATTCGCACAGTTCATAATAATAATAATCATTTAATGAAACATTTATTTTCCTTTTGTCAAAAATCTGTACCCTTCATAAGGGCCCCCAAGCAAATTTTTATAGGGGGCCCCGCCAAGGCACGCTACGCCATTGATACTTTGCTACCAATCTCATCATCTATTGTCGTTTTGCCATTTATTATTTCAGAGCTGAAAATAATGTATATTTAAGGTACAATAGGACTGACATATGGTAAAATAAAAGTCCTTCAAAGATTGAATAAAAGAAACCTCATAACTTAAGTGTCGAACATGGGTAGTTCTGAATATTGACGAATTAAAAGAAGTTTAAAAAGCTTTAGATTTATTTGAGACTACATTCCAAGCTCTGTAGCAATGTTGCATAGAATCGGCAGCAATGCAGTTGTAGCATTGCTGTGCTGCGCAGCAATGTTACGCCGCAGAAACTGCAGTTCGAGTAGTTCATCTATTGAATTCTAAAAATTTCCTTATCACTTCATAATATAAGATGTTGGGACAAGTAATGCCTTTTATATCGACCAAGATACACAATAGAAGCCGAAAATATTGAAGCATTGTTGAATTTAATTGAAAATAATAACTATATAACTTTACTTTACACTAAGGTAAACTTATACACTAACAGATAGCTGCTCAAACGTCCCTTAAAATTGTTATAAGTTTAAAGCGGCATTACCGATACAAATTTGACATTCATTAGTGATACAAAGTTTACAACCGAATTCATTAGAGCTTAAAGGCGTCGTTAAATTTTAATGAACGTTTGTGAAACTGACCGTAAGATATTTGGCTAACAGATTGAAATATATTTTATTTTCTTTATTTTGTTATCTAGATGAGATGTTTGCCTATATTTAATTGTACAATTAGTGTAATTTAAAAAACAATTAGTGTAAATATTGTCGTTGTAACAATTGTGAATCATGCAGATGAATTCGAAGGAATAGTGGCTTAGGGGTTAGCGAGTTCAATCTGCGATGTTGAAGTTAAGCAACTTTTGCAAGAGTTCTAAAAGATTATCGTGTATGACGATAGCCGCGGCAGTTAAAAAAATTTACCTTATGAAATTATCACTTAACTAACATGTTATTGTCACCCTATCTGAAAGAAAGCCTTTGTACTTGATATCTCGCTCGGCCCGCTTTTCAGTTGGGAGTTCTCTGTCCTGTTTTAGTACTAAGTTCATGAGTAGCCCTGTTAAATGAAAAAAAAAATGTTTCTGTAATGGTGTGTGTTGACATCATTTAAGATTGGACGTTACATGGTGTTGAATTACGATAGAACGAGAAGGCACACTTTGTATCTCTCTTTGTATTGTATGGTACTCTTCAGTAAATGTATTCTGTGATCGTGTTTCCGTCCGAGGCACCTCTACAACTCTGTGCTCTGTGGAGTAAAGCTGTGTTCGACCTAATTGGAGGTGTCGCAAATTTCAGTGAATCGTTATTTTATATTATTTATTGTAACTAAATATGACAGTATAATGGTGTTAATTAATCGGTAGTTAAAGTGAAATTGATTGCAGTGTTATATTTTCGAAGTTATGGCAAGTGATTTAGATAGAGTAAGGACAAAGTTATGTTGAATTTCTCCCTAAGTCACCGGGTTGCACCTATGTACATACCTGGCCCTTGAAGGTGGGTTACATTATTGTTTATCAAACTCGGGCACTAAGCAAAATATTTTCTTATACGAAGTTGTGACGGTTTTCCCCGTTATTTTGTTTACACTCTGGCATATATTCAATAAATTTAACAAAACGTAAATAAATTTGTAGCAAGCGAACGCTATGAATGGCTTTCCTTGTTTTCAGTGACTACTTATACCCTTTCTACTCGTTGATAGATACATTACTTCGTATTTTTAGATGGCTTTGTGATTTCAAAATGTATATTTATAGTCCAATATTTTTTAATTCATGACAAGTTTCAATTTTAAATAACATACTAAATTACGAATAATTAATTTAACGGGATGTATGGTTTAGTGTGACTTAAATTTGTAAACCTACTATATTTGAAAAAAGCCATTAATATTGAATTTGACATTATAGTTCATAGTTACTATAAAAAATAATATAATAATCAACTGTATTACATTTATATGCATCATTTAACTACATAATACTCTAAAAAACAATTCTCGTTTTAAAAGATCATAGATGTATAGATTGTAAATAAAATGTTCAAAACATAAACTGTCTTAATTCAATAGAAGTCTGAGGCAATGAGCATTATTAAATAACAATACATGTCTGTCTGTTGCCTACATGTAATCTTCATGGTGCACACAGTGTACTGTTGTCTGACATGTTTATATGCACTTAATATCCCCAGCGGGTAATTATAATGTCCTTCAGGCAAGATTTGTGTATATTTATGACTTAGCATTAATGTTGGTTAAATAAGGTAGTTAAATTATTATTTTTTAATGGTTAAAAAGCATAAATGCTCATGTATATAAACAAAACTTTTTATAATTTCAAAATTATATTTTTTTGAAACTTATAAGATATTATTTGAGATTTTGTTTGTTACTTATTTATATAATGCTGCAGAGAGGATGAAGCATCACAAGGCATGGACTCTATATACATAGGGACCATGCCTCGTGTCTAAAGTACTTTTGTTGCCTTATATTGAGATAATCAGCCTAAAGCATTGATTTTTTTATAATTGCAGTCGTCACTGCACGTGTTTCAAGATATTTCCATCTCGGAAGTCCCAGGTTCGATTCCTGGTTATGTCAATGTAGTTAAATATTACAAATATTGAAAATTGTTACTACTTGAATAAGGATCTAAATAATGTATGACATGATGTTATCTAATATTATATATTACATTATACACTGTAAAATTATTAATTTAGCTTGTATATTATACTCTTTCTTTTAAATTGTCTTGAAATATCCATGTTCATTTCATCATCAGTCATAAGACATCCACTGCTTCGCATAGGCCTCCCCCATAGTTCTCCACGACTATCAATCCTGCTCTGCCCATATCCAGTGGCTACCTGCAAATTTTATAAGATTGTTGGTTCACCTGGTGGGATGCCTACACATTGAGCGTCATCCGGTTCGTGGTCGCCATTCAAAATCTCTTCCGCTCCAACGGCCATCAGCTCTTCTCGCTATGTGTCCCACCCACTGCCACTTTAGCTGAGCAATTCTTTGAGCAATGTCAGTAACGTCAGTTCTCCTAATTCAATTGCATAGAAAAATACTGAGCATTGACCTCTCCATTGCCCATTGGGTTATCTTGAGCTTTCTTATGAGACCCATAGTGAACGACCATGTTTCGCTTCCATAAGTCATCACTGGGAACACACACTGATGTTCATTTATGTAATAATAATTTGTGTTAAAATTAAATTAAAATAATGACAAACCATAAGTAACATCCGTCATGTTATGTGGTGAAAAGGTAGTTAGATAATTTCAAACTTACAATATAGTTATAATATGTGTATAATATACAAAATTTAATATAGATAGACAACTTACCACATGTATTTTTTGTTTAATTTTTAGTTCTCCCAGTTTTTTAAAGTAACGAAACCTTTAAATTATAATAAAGTGAGCTATAAACTAAGCCCATCATTTAATATTGTCTTATATGAACTATTTTTTTACCTCTGAAAAGATAGTTCCTCTCTCTTCTGAAAGGCATGTTAAGGCAATAGATAAATATTAATTAATTCACTTATGAGAAGGCATACTTCCTAGTTGATTAAACTCGGTTTCCCAAATCTGATGACAGAAGTGATAGTATAGTTTGTTGAGTTATATTATTACGTTTATAATAATTAAAATGAAGTATTATTATGTTAAAACAAATGTATAAAATTCTGAATTGGGCATTTTTTAAAGACTCATGGTATGTACACAAGGTTAAAAAATTAAAAGTAATAATTTCCATTGAAAAAAAAAAATAATTTGATATATAAAAAGCTCAACATATAAGATTCATTATGTTAAATGTTCTTGTTGTACAATGTAAGTAGTTATTGTTAGAGCTCCTCGCATATCGGTCGCGCGTCATTTGTGCCACGCCTGCGCCTGCGCCGCGCGCGGCTGCGTACTCGGCCGGCACAAGTAATGACCCCTCTCAGCAATCTGATACCGAACTGCTGTAACTTTTCACAAATTGCCAGTCGACAGTGAACAACGCTGTTTTACATGGACAGAGTTATGTACCTTCTTCTTCTTCTTTTCTTTCAATGGTTAAACATAATTCTTGCCAAATTCGCCTAAGTGAATTTTGAATTTTCGCAATGGATTTTCCCAGATCAACACAACAAAAATTTGGACAACACACAAACATACAATAGGTAATATGCTTGTTGTCAATATTACACCACGGGCAATGTAAAGTTGATCGGCGTAGCCTTTAGTTAGGGATTTTACCATTCAGAAATGCGCTTACTAAAAAAGAGACGTGCAATATATGGGAATAATCGTAAGGGGAGCAGGGAATGGTTCGTGCAACTCACAGTGACGCAACTCACAAATCTAATCCAAAACAAACTGACAAAGGTAACTATTCCGAACTTTTACT